TGTCTGGGCGACAGAGTGAGACTCCAACTCAAAAAAAGAGAGAGAGAGAGAGAGAGAGAGAACCCCAAGGTTTCTAAATTCAAAGGTTTATTATACATTATAAGCCAGAGAGCTCAAAGACAAAATAAAACACAGGTTCTGGAGGCTGAATCCATTTTTAAGGTATATCTTTGCACCAGGTAAAATGAGTGGATTATGGAACGTGCTAACTGCCTTAAGGCAATCTAAATATTGAGGGGGACACACTATGAGTCAGAGAATAAAAGTTAAACAAGTAGCAAATGGAGGTCATAAGACCAATTGGGAGACATTGCTTCGATATTCTCAACTATACTAGTGTACAGATGGGCATGACATCCTTCAGATTAATCCTATGAAATTATTTCCAACACCTCCACCATATCATCATACTGATTACACTAACTCAGGCCTTATTGGCTCTCCCACTTGCTAGTACAACAGCCCCTAATTCCTCCTCTTTACTGTTACCAGAGCATTTTTTTTTCTAAAAATGAAGATCTAATTACATATATCTCTCTTTTCATGGCTCCCTCACTGCCTATAGAGAAAATTAAAATTCCCTAGCCTAGACAGCTATTTACAATTTGGACTCACACAGCTTTTTTTGAGGTGTATCTCCTACCACTCACCTACTGACTTTTACACTTTGGCTTTGCTCATATTTGTACTTTTTGTCTGAAATTACTTTCTCGGCATACTCACCTGTATAACCCCAATTTATCTTCCAAGGCCCTTCCTGAAAACTCCAACTCCTAAATTGCTCCTCCACAATATTCTTGTATTGCTTTTAATATACTATGACTTTTCTATTTTATTATATCATCAACTCATTTATCTATATTCTCTGATAGAATGCTGAGTTCCACGTAAGCAAAAACTTTGTCTTATTCATCTTTTCTCTTTAGTTTGGTACAGAGTAGATGTGAATGAATGCTTGAATAGATTAATCAAAGAAGATATGAATTATAAATACAGACTACTATCTTGATTCGTGAAAGGACAGAGCCCAAAATGGAGTTTCTCTGGCCTCCTTGAGCTTATATATGAAAATAATCCTTTCCTGGAATCCTGGGCAAGTCATTGGACATTGAGATTAACATCTCCTAAGAATTTGTCTTTCTGCTACCAGCCCTGCCCTTCTCATCTTTCCCAATCTAATTTCTGTGCAATTCATTGCCATACTCGCAGCACCAGCCCACTGACCTAACAATTTTGAATTCCCCATTAAAAATTAAGCCCAAGTTCACTCTTACTTCATCCAAGAAGTCTTCTCCAACTGCTTTAGACCACATTGAAATGGCATATTGAAAAGAAAGGAATTTCTTACAGTCATTAGGACACATTTCAGCATTTAAATACTCTACTTCACCGGTGTTAACTCTACCCACCCAAACAGGTGACAAGGGTAACTAAGTAACAGAGAGTTCTTGTAATTCTCTACATTCTCTACAATACTTGGGTATATAGTCCCCATAACACTTGGGCCAAGTCTTATTCAAAGAAGGTTCTGATAAATACGATAGATTGGGATTGGCAAATTTTTCCTGTAAAAGGATAGATTACATATATTTTAAGCTTGGCAAGTTACAAGGTCTGTGTTGCAACTGTTCAACTCTGCCATTGTAGGGCAAAAGCAGTCACAGATAATATATAAACAAAATAGCAAAGCTGTGTTACAATCAACCTTTATTTATGGATATCAAAATTTGGATATCATGTAATTTTCATGTGTCATGAAATAGGATTCTAGTTTTGATTTTTTCCCCAACCATTTAAAAACATGAAAAACATTTCTAGTTAGCAGACAGCAGAAAACCAAAAAGCAGGCTGGATTTGGCCCACAAGTTACAGTCTGCCAATTCTTGCTTTACAGGGATGCATTTAACTACACAAGACAATTCTGCAGTCATATTCCCAACCAAAACATTAACACACATATCGAAATACCTTCGTTCAGCACGTTCTTTCTTCTTTAAGGCAACATCCAAATCCTGCAACTGTTCCTCTAATTTTTCACACAGGAGTTTCTAAAAAAGCAAAATAGATGAGTGTCATTTTTAACACCTTACCACAATCTCGTATCATGTGCATGTGAAGCTCCTGAGTATTATGCTCTGAGAGTTGAACAATTAAGCTTTTCTTGTGTTTAAATAAATAAAGAGGTGCCTCAGCATCCATTCAACAGAAGATGAACACAGCATCTTTGAAATAAAGCATACATTAAAGAAACTTTTATCTGTGCCTAACCTGCTGGCAATAACCAAATGTCTAAAATAGCATTTGGTTCAGTGTATACATGTAACAGATTATAATTTTTTAAAAAATTCCCCCTGTAGTTCCAGCTATTTGGAAGGCTGAAGCGGAAGGATCGCCAGAGCCCAGCAGGACAAGGTTGCGGTAGCCGGGAGCGGCCACTCCACTCCAGTCTGGGCGACAGAGTGAGACTCCAACTCAAAAAAAAAAGAAAATTCCCATGACATTTTCAAAGGAGGTTACATGTATAATAAAATGTAATGATGCCAATAACTTTTTTTATAAATATAGGGAAAAGACCGAGCTTGTTGGCTCAGCCTGTAATCCCAGCACTTTGGAAGTCCGAGGCAAGACGACTGTCTGAGCCCACAGGTTCGAGACCAGCCCGGGCAACTTGGCAAGACCTCGTCTCTACAATAAATCAAAAAATAGCTGGGCATGGTAGCACACGCCTGTAGTTATGGCTAGTTGAAAGGCTGAGGTGGAAGGATCACCGGAGCCCAGCAGGTTGAGGCTGTGGTGGCTGGGAGTATGCCACTGCACTCCAGCCTGGTGACAGAGTGAGACTCCCACTCAAAAAAAAAAAAAAAGGACAGGGAAAAAAATGCATGAAACAATACCACATGGTTACTGGGTCAAAATAGAGTTGAAATGTAATTAATAAAAGTTATACTAAGCCATACAAGTCCACTTCACTGAAAAAGGAACAAAGTCCAACATTTTAAAAAATTATTTTAAAAATTTTTTAGAGACAGGGTCTTACTATGTTGCCCAGGCTGGTCTCAAAGTCCTGATCTCAGGCAATCCTCTCGCCTCAGCATCCTGAGTAGCTCTGCACTCAGATTAGACCATCACTTTAAGGCTTACACTAGGTTTGTGAGAGAAAAGTACCCAACGGCTATAGGAGCACAGAACTATCCTGCTCTTCAGCTTCAAAGGAAATTCGTCTGAATTAAGATAGAAGAGAAAGATAATCCATGTTTCTCTTAACCCTGATAACATCACATTTAAAACTTCTGACAGAGAGAAGATAGGTAAAAATTAAAAAAAAAAGGAAAAAACAAAGGGATAAACAGCAGGAAAAAAACTTATTTTTTCCTTTCTATAAATCAAAAATTGGTGCTTTTTGAGCTTATAAAAATGCAAGAAAAAATAGATCATAGTTTTACAAAAATTAGAGAACTTCTGAGAATTGTTTTGGAAAAAAAGAAACATTTAGAATATAATAATAAAAGGTAGTGTTCTAGGCAGAGCATGGTGACTCATGCCTGTAATCCTAGCACTTTGGGAAGCTGAAATATTAAGATCACATGAAGCCAGGAGTTCAAGACCTTTTCTTAAATTTTTGCTCAGGCTGGAGTGCAGTAGCATGATCCCGGTTCATCACAGCCTTGACCTCCTAGACTCAGAAGGTCACAGTCCTTCTACCTCAGCCCCTGAATAGCTGGGACTACAACCACACGCAACCATGCCTGTCTAATTTTTAAAATTTTTGTTTCCTTTTCTTAAAAAATTAAAAGGTAAAGGTAGAAATCTAAACAGGGATAAATACTATCTATTCACAAATTCTTTGAAGATTAAAGATTTTCAGTAGCTATTAAAAAGTATTAATAAATATAAAGTCAAAGACTTAAAAACAGATGTGGGCTGGTTCATACATGTTGGCAGGGGGGGCAGAACCATTCTCCATCAGGGATGATCATCAGAGGAGGGCGAAGGCAGGCAGTGTGGTATCCACTGTCACAAGAGTCACACAGAAGAATCTGCAATAAATGACATTAATGTCAACCTAACTATGACTAAAACTTAATGATTAATGTTAAAGACATTTCAATATTTCTTTTTTTTTTTTTTTTGAGTTGGAGTCTCACTCTGTCGCCCAGACTGGAGTGCAGTGGCCGCTCCCGGCCACCGTAGCCTCGACCTGCTGGGCTCAGGCGATCCTTCCGCCTCAGCCTTCCGAGTAGCCGGAATTACAGGCATGCGCTACCACGCCCGGCTGATTTTTTGATTTATTGTAGAGATGAGGTCTCGCTGCCCAGGCGGGTCTCGAACCCGCGGGCTCAGGCAATCCACTCACCTCAGCCTCCCAAAGGCGCGGGATTACAGGCTGAGCCACCGAGCCCGGCTCAATATTTCTTAAAAGTACACTGCAAAGCACTCAAGTTGCATAAAGCTAATAAAAATGTTCTGATAATTAGTGATCTAATATGTTGATTTTTAAAAAATTAAAAAACAAAAACAAACAAAAAACCCTAAAACATGTTAAGCTATACAATTTAGTGAAAAATAATAAGTCCTTTCTGACCTGTATTAGAATCATTTTCATTCAGTGTATAGCCACAAGGGCTATAATAACATACTCTTTATAACCAAGTTTTAAAGCTCAAGTATTATAACTACCTTACCATACGTAAAATTTTAGTAATACAAGAAATTTCCTTTTTAAACAGCATTTCAATTACCAATCTGCAAGAAACACTCATGGTTCTTTTTATTATGCAAATTCAGCAAGAAAGTGACTGAGGTACAGAAAAGGAATATAACTAAATATAGAATCAACAAGTTCTAATACAAAGTAATGACATCAATTAGTTTTAGAGTTATTTTATTGCTATTTAAGATGACCAAATCTCTAAAACTTAACATGGTATATATTCATAGATGTTTAACTTAAGAAAAAACTTATTTTCAAATAATTTTAAATTTACAGAAGAGCTGCAAAGATAGAACAGAGAGTTCTCATATGTCCTTCATCCACCTTCCAATAATGCTAACATTTTATATAACTATGGTACATTTATCAAAACTAAGAAATTAGCATCAATATAATACTACAAACTACAGATTTTATTCAGATTTCAAAAGTTTTTCCACTAATGTCCTTTTTCTGAATCTAAACCCTTTTAGTCATGTCTCGTTAGTTTCCTGATCTGTAATAGTTTCTAGATCTTTCTTGGTATTCCATGACTGATAGTTTGAAGAATACCAGTCAGATATTTTTTGCAGACCGTCCCTGAATATGAGTTTTCTCATGACTGGAGTGGGGTTCGGAGTTTTAGAGAAGAACACCAAAGAGGTGAAGTGCCCTGCTCATCGCATAATATCGGGGGGGGGGTACATGGTATCAATATCACTTACTGGTATTAACTTTGATCATTTGGCTAAAATAGTTTCTGTTGGTTTTCTCTAATGTAAAGTTATTACTTTTCATTTTCCATTTGAAAGTGATAAGCACAGCCCACACTCAAGGGGAGAGGAATTAACTTTTTTAGAGGTGTAAGTATCAAAAAACTTGTAGACATACTCAGTGGCTCAGCCTGTAATCCCGCGCCTTTGGGAGGCTGAGGTGAGTGGATTGCCTTAGCCCGCACGTTCGGGACCCGCCTGGGCAGCGAGACCTCATCTCTACAATAAATCAAAAAATCAGCCGGGCGTGGTAGTGCATGCCTATAATTCTGGCTACTTGGAAGGCTGAGGTGGAAGGATCGCTGGAGCCCAGCAGGTCGAGGTTGCGGTGGCCGAGAGTGGCCACTGCACTCCAGTCTGGGTGACAGAGTGAAACTCCAACTCAAAAAAAAAAAAGAAATTAAAATCACTACAGTAACGTAAACACTTTGGGGAGATACACTGAAGCTACGCAAATATCTATTCTTTCCTTAAAGTTTTGCCCACTAGTTTTAGAGTTCACTGGTGATCTTGCTTGCAACAATTATTACTGTGGCGCTCTGACGGCGACTTTCCATTTCCCTCATGCATCCTACGTTTGTTATTTGGAATTCTCCTGTAAAGAAAATATGTTCCTTCACCCCTCCCCACCCGTTTGTTTATTCAATCATTTTTATCAGTATGGACTAATGAATCTTTAATTAATTCTTTGGGTTACAATCTAAAACTAACACTATTTAATTTTTTTTTTGAGTTGGAATCTCACTCTGTTACCCAGACTAGAGTGCAGTGGCTGCTCCCAGCCACCGCAGCCTTGACCGGCTAGGCTCCAGTGATCCTTTCGCCTCAGCCTTCCAAGTAGCTGGAACTACAGGCGCGCGCTACCACGCCCAGCTCATTTTTTGATTTATTGTAGAGATGAGGTCTTGCCAAGTTGCCCAGGCGGGTCTCGAACCCACTGGCTCAGGCAATCCACTCACCTCAGCCTCCCAAAGGCACAGGATTACAGGCTGAGCCACCGAGCCCGGCAACACTATTTAATTTGTTGTTGGAATTGTTCCAGCCATGAACAGACACAGTCAGTCATTTCTCCAAGAAGGCCTAGTTCCTTTACTAGAGAATGGAATTTAGAAACCAAGATTTGGGTGCTCTGAGTGCTCATTTCTACTGGATACCACCACTTCTAAGCTCTTTCAGAGGATAGAGCTAAGAAATATATGAGGGGAGAAGGACCCAAAAAACCCCACCAGAATTATCTTTTAGAGTGTGGGTCTCTTATAGTTTTTATCTGTAAGTTTTGAAAAGGTTGTATCATGATTTATGGAAGAAATGTCCCAAGTTGTGGCAAACAGGTGACTGGGACTTCCACAATGATAATGTACCTACTCACACTGTGCTGAGTGTTCAGCAGTTTTTGACCAAAAACGGCATGACCCCCAAGCCTCACCATCCCTATTCACCCAATCTCACTCCAAGTGACTTTTTTTTGTTTCCCTGGATGAAAAAAGTCCTCAAAAGGAAACTTTTGCTGATGTGGAAGAGTTGAAACAAAAAATGGCAGAAGAACTAAAACACATTAAAATTGATAAGATAAAAATGGTTTTAAGTGGCAGAAAAAAATGTCCTGATAGGTATATTGCATTAAATAGAGAGCACTTTGAAGGTGACTAAGTTTAAACATGTAAGAATAAATATACAAATTTTTATAAATAAATTTTGGAGTGTTTTGGATCCCCTCATATGTATGTACATATATAAATATTTCTCTACCTATAATAAAGTTGACATGAGTTCATACTCATACTAATATATACACTACTAATCCAGCATCAGGGATTTCATTCTAGTCTTTGGCCTCGCTTACAGTGAGGGCGCTGACTCCCATTACCTGTATTTTACTTATTTACTCAACCCTAGCATACGCAGTTTCCAACATCATTCTCAGTATAATTTCTGTTCATTCCATTTTACTTACTTCCTCACACTCCTTTGTGTGAGCCTTGATGATCATGAAATGCTTAGAAGCATCTTCTCAGCATAATTTCAATATCTATTCTTCTCAGAGCTAAAGTCATTTTCCGGTTCTAAGTTACATCTTTTACTTGAGCTGTGTCAGAAACCAGTGGGATATGATAAACTTTACTGAAGGATTTAGTTTCCAGATATGATTTTAACAGTAAAAAAGAAATGAGTAAGTAAATAAGAACTTTTTTTCTTTGAGTTGGAGTCTCACTCTGTCTCCCAGGCTGGAGTGCAGTGGCATGCTCACGACGACCCCAGCGTTGGCTAGGCTCCAGTGATTCTTCTGCCTCCGCCTTACAAGTAGCCAGAACTACAGGTGCATGCTACCATGTGGCTAATTTTTTATTTATTGTAGAGACAAGGTTTCGCCAAGTTGCCCAGGCTGGTCTCGAACCCACGGGCTCAGGCAATCCACTCGCCTTGGCCTCCTAAAGTGCTGGGATTACTGGCTGAGTCACCAAACCTGGCCGAGAACTAACTTTGACCTACCACATAATATGTATCAGAAACTATGCTAGGCAACTTTACATAGTTTTTAACACTCCTCAGGAGTATATGGTGAGTCCTATTTTGCAATGAAGAAATCAAGATACAGAGAAGATACCAACTAATGAGTGGAAAAGCAGGATCTGAATCCATGGTGTCTGGCCCATGCTTTTCCCATCATACAACATCACCTGCTTTCTAGGGAAAAAGAGCCTGGATAGCCACTTATAAGTTTTCCAAGTTTTAGAGCATCTCAAAATATTTCTGGCTTACACAATTCTACCCATGTGGAAGCACCTTTCTTTACACTGTATTTTATTAAATAGTCAGAGCATGCCTTTAAAGACAAATCTATTCAAAAGTACAGAGAATTAAGTATAACAAGACTATTTCCTCAAAGGACTCACTTCTGTATGAACTGCAAATACATAGATAGATATATATGATTCTCCTGTTTAGGTCACCTTTGAAGAACTTACTTCCTGGTTAAGAAAGCTCCATATAAATCAGGAAGCATTCTTTTGAATATATCTGTTCTATAATTTATTTTCCTAAAAAACTTTTTTAACTGCCCATTTTTATAATTTCAAAGTCCTACTAGGCTACTACTTGACTTAAATGTTTTCACAGGAAGGCAGTAAGATCTACAGGCCTAATTTACTTACAGCTAGCACTTTAGAAATATCACAATAAAATTATTTGTTTATGAGACAGGATCACGGTATGTTGTCCAAGCTGGACTCAAACTCCTGGACTCAAATCCTCCCACCTCAGCCTCCTGAGTGTCTAGGACTGCAGAGTACACCACCACATCCAGCAGAAATACCATTATAAAGTAATTTGGAAAAAACGAAGAAATATGAAAAAAAATTGATTATAAGTACATGAATAGATTCATTAGTTTGTGAAATGACATGAAGGCATATCCTTATTAATTAGAAAAAATGTCCATATATAAGCCAGGCAGAATGAAAGCAGGATCCTGACTCCTTGGCCTCCCTATAATTGGGTTATTTGAGAAACAGAAATAAAAATTATATTGTAGCATACAAGCTCTCTTTTTTAATAAAAAATTGAAATTGCAGTCAAACCCAGAAGAGTTAGGTTGCTTCAGGAAACACAGTATACTTGCAATATGAATATCATACATTTACATTAGGTACATACCAATTCAGGATGGTTTGGAAGGCCACATTTTTTGCATGGTTCATCATCATCTGCCAGGACGGCTTCCTCACTTTCCTTTTCTTCTTCTTCTTCTGAAGCTGCAGATGATTTTTCACTGTCAGACGCTTCACTTTCATCATTGCTGGAGTATTTCCACCTGCCACGTGTTCGAGAACCAGTCCATCGAACTTTTCCTTTGGGTTTTACCTTGTATAAAATAAAAAATTGGGATAATTTGATATAAGAATGTCTTTCTAAAAAAATCTTTTCCTTATCACATGTTCACTATAGACTATTTAGTCAATAAAAAGAAAAAATAAAATTTTTTGTAGTCTCATCACCAGATATACCTACTATTAAATTTTGGCATATATTTCCATTATTTTTTCTACATTTCTAGTTTTCTTAAAAAATGGAATTATAACAAACATTCTGTCTTACATTTCTCCTAGTCATAAAATATTCTCCTAACATTGCTATAAATGTCTTCACACAGCTGTATTTATCTAATCCTCTACTAGACATTTAGGTAGTTGTTTCCCATTTTTTCACTTTTATCAACAATGCACTGTATCCTTATAAATAAAAATTTTTACACACATCTCTGTGGTTAGGATAAATTCCTTGAAGAGGATTCTGGGTCAAAGGTCATGTGTGTTTTAAATACTCTGAAAGAGAATGATAACTATATTCTCTCATATTGTTATATAAAATTTTAAATCCTGTATTCGAGATGAACTTAAAATTTTTAATTGGGTCAGAACTGTTTACAAAAATCTTGACATATTTACAAATATAGAGTATTCAGATAATAAGTTTATAATGTGAATAATAGTTTTTAATTTTAATTTTAATTTTTGAGACAAAGTCCCACGCTGCTGCCCAGGCTGGAGTATAGTGGCATGATCCCAGCTCACCATAGCCTTGACCGCCTAAAGCAATCCTTCCACTTTAGCTTCTCAAGTAGCTGGAACTACAGGTATTTGCCACCATGGCTGGTTAATTCTTCTATTTTTTTGTAGAGACGAGATCTTGCTATGTTATATTTGCCCAGGGTAGTCTTCAACTCTTGGGCTCAAGTGATTCTCCCACCTTGGCCTCCCAAAGTGCTGGGATTACAGGCATGAGCCACCCTGCTCAGCCATTAACATCATTTTGTTGCCTAGTTTTGTAACTCTTTAACTCATATTTTAGTTTATTCCTACACTACAGATCTTCAGCAAAGAAAAACATAATTTTAACAACAAAAAAGAAGAAGCTTTTTAAAACATAAAGAGTAAAAAAATCAGTATTTTAGGGAATACAGGATCACTTACAATAAAGAATAATCTGATCATTTAAATAAGTTAAAAACAAAAGCAGCACTTTTAATTGTGACAAACTCCCAAAAACTAGTTGAAAACTTATAAAAGATTTTGCTTAAAATAAAGAGGGTCAGAGAAAAGAGAATTCTGACTTTTTGGACTAACGATTACAATGGGGGAAAATAGGCACTCTCCTACATACTAGTAATAACATGGCAATAACAGGGCCTTTTGGAAGAATGATGTCACAATACCTATCAAAACTTAAAATACACATGCCCCTTGACCCAGCAATTCCAATTCTAGGAGTCTATTCTAAAGAAATACTCACTCATGTCCGAAAGGATCTTCAATGCAGCATTGCCTGTAATAGTGAAAATTGGAAACAACCTAAATGTCAATCAATAAGGGAATGCTTAAATAAACTGAGGTATAGCCACACTATGGAATACTGTGTGGCCATTAATAAACAAAAGGTAGACTACATCTACCAACACAGAAAGAGTTCAGAGATACACTGGTAAGTGAAAAACTCATAGGAAAATGAACATATTTGATCCAACTTATTTTTTAAATAAATGAGTAAATGTTCATGAATGTATACATGAAGGCATGGAAAAAGGACTGGAAAAATGTACCTGACAAGGAAAGAGTTCAGAGATACACTGGTAAGTGAAAAACTCATAGAAAAATGAACATATTTGATCCAATTTATTTTTTAAACGAATGAGTAAATGTTCATGAATGTATACATGAAGGCATGGAAAAAGGACTGGAAAAATGTACCCCAAATTGTTAATAATGGTAATGGAAAATTTTCATTTTATAATTCTACAGGTTGGGTATTACTTGAATAGTTTATAAAGAAAATATATTCCTATAGTATCTGTAACTTTCTTTAAAATGTTAAAAGACAGTAAGAGTATAAAGTCTGAAATTTAATATGTGAAAATAACTACTGAGAAAAGATATCTCAGATAAAGGAACATACATTAATTTTCAGTTGTGTAATTTTTAGCCAAGATCAAAAAGCTATTAACGATTAGAGACAAATATTTTTAATTAAAAATTAAAATTCAGAGTAGGAGAAAACATTTTACCTTGCTTACTTTAGAATTTGTATCCTTCTCCAACTTTTTCAAGTTTTCTTTTTTGTCAATTTTTGGCAAAGTTGTTGGCTCTTCTTCCACTTCATCTTCTCCTTCTCCCCTTTTTTTATCAGCTTTCTGATCTCTAATCTCAGCTACTTTTGCTGTGGGTCTAGATATTCTTGGAGACCTCCTTAAAGTACGACCCACATTTGTTTTCTCTTCTTCCTTTTCTGATTTTTCTTGCTTGTTTTCTGGTTCTAGAATTTTGGGGGGAGAATCTGGCTTCTTTTTCCGACTGGATATCCTAATTGTTAATTTGATACCCTCTTTCTGCCTTTCAGAGGTTATCTCTGTATTTTCTGAGGCAGTGGCTTCTTCTTCAGGAATCAACTTATATTTAAATTTGTTTTTCTGCATAGAACCCTTTGTCTCAGAAGAGTCTTCTATGCCTGAGGTCTGGGCATCGTCCAGATTATCCATTTCTACCTTCACGGATTCAGAATCCTCTTTAAGGATTTCTGTTTCTACTTTTTTCACAGACTGACCTTCAACAGAACCTGTGCTCTGACATTCTACCACTTCCTTTTCTGAGGGAAGTTTCTCACAGTGGTCAGTCGTATTAGATGGTGAAGTGTCATCTGCTTCAGCAGAGTCAAGTTGTTCTGACTCTATAGTATTCTTTGGAACTTCTTCTGGTATTGGACTCAATCTTTGTATGTCCTTATCAAGAAAAGTTTTTTTGGACTTCTCTAACTTTTCAAGACATTCTACGACTGGTGGGCGCTTATCCTTTTTACTTTTAGGAGACTTCTCTTCAACTTTCATGGCACAGGACTCAGTGGTAGATAAAGCAGCTTTTAAAGAGAGATCTTTTGTCATCTCAGAAGACTCAAGAGAAGTTTCCATTTCCAGAGGACAAGGTTCCTCTATCTGCCTTTTGTGACTCTGGGTCTCTATGACTGATACTGAATTATCTGCATCTTTCCCTAAAGGGACCATTTCTCTCTCAAGCTCACCTACTTTCATACTCATTATGACAGAATTTAAGGACTCTGCTCCATTTCCCTCCATGATGACATTTCTGTCCTTAGAGGGGCTATAGCTATCTTCCTTTGTATCATAAAACTTTGTCTCTATTTGTTCTGTCTTAAAATTTGGAGTTACTCTTTCATCACTAACTTCTCCATTTACCAGTTGTTTTCCTTCATGGCCCATAGTAGTGATGGTAGAGACTCTTTTACAAGTCTCTTCCTCTTGTCTTATTTCATCTTTCAAAAACTCTTTTGTTGGAGTAACTGATTTACATAAAGGTCCTTTGACTGGACTATCAAAATCATCACTCAGTTTAATTTCTCGTTTTTTTAGTGGTATCTTGGCTTGTTGGTCATTTTTAAGTTTCTCGGTTTCTTCAGTAGATTTCTCAGTAATTTCTTGAGAAGATTTAACATTGCCACCAAATTCCATCCTCTCAGGCTCCTGTGCCACTAGTTTCTCCATGCTACCCTTGATATCTTTAGGATCTGCTCTATATTCCTTTACTTCAACTTTAATGGGTTTGACATTTTCCTTGAATGAATCACTTTCTTCTTTGATAATCTTTTTTTCCTCACTTTCTGGCAAAGATTTTTCCAGTTTCACTATGACTGGCATTTTCACAAGTTCCTTTTCATCTTCTTTTTCTATTTTCACAATAGTTTCTTCTAGAACATTGCCTGTAGAACGGTTTTCTGAATCTTTTGTCCTCTCTTCACCTTTCTTCTTTTCATTTTCCTTCTGTTCCTCTAAAAATCAGAAAAAGTTTACTTACATGAATAGAAGCCTGAAAGGTTATAAGATATAAGACTTATATAATATATATTTCCATTTGAAGTTTCTATCTTAAAAGAGGTAGCTTTTGTCATTAAATATTTGATCCCTAGAAAATGAAATCTGAGAATGAAGGAAATTAAAATACTTTAAAGCTCAACTTCTTTTTTTTCTTATAAAGATTTGGGGTACAATTCAGGGTTAGGTATAAAAAGGTTGATTATGCGAGTACCCCTCCCTCCCCTAGCAGTTTCCCTCATCTGCCAATCCCACCATCTCTCCCCTGACAGTTTCCCACTACTGCCAATTACTTTCTTATAGTCTTATAATAATTGCTCAAGGTTCATTTAAAGCTCAATTTCTAGACACCAAAAAACTTATTTAGAAAGACTCATGTTTCCACTTTTTACTTCCGTGTCCTCAATGGAACGCCAATATTTACGCAGTTCAAATCATTTATTCAAGCTTAAGAGATGGCTCAAAAACATGAAACAGAAAATACTACATAAAACATTTCCAAAGATCTTATTTGTTTAATAAACCAACAACTGTTCTTTTTCCCAAGTCACTGAGCACTTCCTATTACTGAAGTAACATGAGCACTGCAGTGGGAAAATGAAAACTACAGAAAGAAAAAAAGTCTACAATTCTATTACCCAGAGACAACAACTCTTAATATTTTAAGTTATTAATCCTCTAGTCTTCTAGATTTCTCAGTAGGTTAAAATCATGTTGTCTTCATTCATTCACTGAAACATTAGCACTCTCTAACGATGTTAAATGCTTTTTGTAAACAGTGAACTTAGTGCTTCTGTAACATTACTGAACATTTCAGAAGCTAGTATAATACAAAGAAATGATTTAGATTTATCTGTTAATTCCTCTTTATATCTTAATGGCTATATATTTTCAACTCTTATGGAGTATCTAGTACTACTGTAGATTCAAACATAACAAAACCACACTTGGTAACTAGAATAATCTCTGAATGGGATTACAGACACTGTACTAATTTTACCTACATTTTTCATCCCTTATCCTTGCTACCAAAAAACTTCAATTCTAATCAAAGCCTTACCATGATATACACTTCCTTCTAAAAATTTGCACAGATTTGTCTCAAGCTGATAAACAAGAGTTATGGTATGTTTAATAAGAGTATAAATGGGATGGACAGAAGATAAGGTAGGGCATGGCTTTAAAATGAAACTTTCATATTTCATTAAAAGTGAATATTTTCAGGCAACCCCCTTGGGTCCCCTCCCACCGTGGAAGCTTTTCTGTCCTTTCAATAAATCCTGCTTTTTTAAAAAAAAAAGTGAATATTTTCATTACAAACCATTTCTTTTTTGTCCAATAATGTTGCAAATAAAAAACTCAAGAACCATTCAGAGCCTCAGGCTAAAGTAATTGGATCAATATTACTTGTCTTTCTTTACAATGTCAATGCTATAAAGTAGGCTGCAAAAAAATTTACAGAGATGACCGTGACTATCTAATTTGTATGTCCTTCCCTTTCCCACTGATTAAATAGGTTTAGTAAATTCTCATGTATTAAGATTTGGGAATCAGGAAATCTAATAAAATGAATATCCTGGTTAACAATTAAAATACAGGTTGGGCGCAGTGGTTCACGCCTATAATCCCAGCACTTTGGGAGGCGGAGGCAAGAGGACTGCCTGAGCCCAGGGTTTGGAGACCAGCCTGGGCAACTTGGCAAGACCTCGTATCTACAATAAATCAAAAAATTAGCTGGACATAGTAACACGTATCTGTGGTTCCAGCTACTTGGAAAGTTGAGGGGGAAAGATCACCCGAGCCCAGGAAGTAGAGGTTGTGGTGGCCGTGAGCATGTTACTGCACTCCAGCCTGGATGACAGAGTGACTTCGACTCAAAAAAAAAAAGATAGTAATCTGTGACCAGTCTCAGATTACTATCTTTAAAAATAACTTCAACCTGGTATTTCTCTATTTTATGGTTCAGAAAGGATCTCATCATGACCCATATCCAAGGTAAAATAACATTATGTTTTCATTTTGGATTAACTGATTTTGATGTAACATGGCAAAATGAAACGTGAAATGACATTAGATTCAAGACTCCCGGGTTCACTCTGCCTAATTAAGCTAAGGCCAATCATTCCACTCATGCTTTGGATCTCATATCCTCCAGCCTATTCAGAAAGGGTTTTAAGCAGAGTGTTATCATCTTGCTTGCTTTAATGAGACTCACTGGTTGAAATGAAAACAGATTAAAGAGAACAAAAGATAGAAACAAGAATAGTTAAGGGATTACTGTAAGAGAATCATTAATAAAAGCTCTCCAAGGTCATCCCACTTTATTTAGATGAAAACCCAAAACTCTTCATAAACCACAAGATCCTATGCAATCTGCATGCCCCTCTAACCCCATCTCCCCAGCCTTACCTGTCAGACCTCATTTTCTCCTGTATTACTATACTCCCTATTCATTCTGCTTCATCTGCATTGCTCACCTAGCATTTCCATAGCAAACTTATTCCATAAATGAGTCAGATAGCTATTTTAATAGCTTAAAATGGTTATTACTGTGCCAAACAGTCTGTCACAACTACTGAACTCTATCACTGTAGTGTGAAGGTAGTCATTAACACTTAGATATTAAATGAGTAAATAAGATTTAACTAACAAAACAAATGGCAGGTCAGATTTGGCCTGTATGTCCTAGTCCGTCAATCTTTGCTATAACAATATTAACTAGGCTTGTTCCCACTTCAGGATCTTATGCTTGTTTTTGGGGAGTTTAAAAATCTTTTCCCTCAGGTACCATGACTGGAGGTATCTATTCACGTGCTAACTTTCCCTCTTTTTTTTTTTTTTTGAGTCGGAATCTCGCTCTGTCACCCAGGCTGGAGTGCAGTGGCACACTCACAGCCACCATAGCCTCAGCCCCCTGGGCTCAGGGGATCCTTCCCCCTCAGTCTTTTAAGTAGCTGGAACCACAGGTGTACTCCACATGTCCAGATAATTTTTGGGTTTCTTGTAGAGACGAGGTCTTGCCAAGTTGTTTAGGCCGGTCTCAAACCTCTGGGCTCAGGCAATCTTTTCACCTCTGCCTCCCTAAGTGCTGGGATTACAGGCATGAACCACCGCACCTGGCAAGTGCTACTTTTTCAATGAGTCATTTTCCAGCACCTCAATCTAAAATTACATCCCATTCTCTTTCCCCAAATTATTTTCCTTCCATAGTTCCTTATCACCACATATATACTATACCTACTACATATTTTATTTACTAATCTTGTTTATTATCTGACATATAATGATATATATGCTCCATGATGGGAAAAACTTGATTTTGTTCACAACTGTATTCCCAGTACTGAAAATAGTGCATGATAGACAGTGCATATTCAATAAATCTTTGTTGATTGAAATGAGTCAGTAAAATATTACATGTGAAATATCACATATGTCTAAGAGAGGAGTATATGAGGGGGGACCCAAAAAAACCTGGAATTATCTTTTGGAGGGCGAATCCCTTATAGTACACATGGAATTTGTTTCTTGATAGGCATATTGCATCAAATGGAGAGTACTTTGAAGGTTACTGAAATTTAAACATGTAAGAATGAATACACAATTTTTTATAAATAAATTCCGCTTTTTTTGGATCCCCCGTATTCCTGCAATTAAAGTTTGCTTGCCAAATAAACTTTTCATAATTTTGAAAATGTTGACAGACTTTACAGTTTCCAAAAGTGGCCCCCAAAATTGAAATTATCATTTGATATTACCCCAATGCACATAATGGAAAATTATACAAGTTACCTACACTAAGGCATTAATGTTAACATTTCAATACATGGTACAGGAATCTGAATTGGTGCCAATTCTTTTGTATTTTAAAGTTTCATGGTACATATTTGGCAAAGGTATCATGAATTTTTAAATTATTAAATATAGCAAAATAAAGAAAATCATACAAAATAAATGCAGTTTAATACATTAGAAGGCAAACATGAAAAAGAAACTTATTAGCAACCCCAAAGGCCTTACACATGCCTTTTCTCTTTTTTGAGTTGGAGTCTCACTCACTCCTGCCCAAGCTGGACTCAGGCAGTCCTTCCGCCTCAGCCTTCCAAGTAGCTGGAACCACAGATGCCATTACCACGCCCAGCTAATTTTTTATTTATTATAGAGATGAGGTCTCGCCAAGTTGCCCAGGCTGTTCTCGAACGCGTGGGCTCAGGCAATCCCCTCACCTCAGCCTCCCAAAGTGCTAGAATTACAGGCTTGAGCCAACTACGCCTGGCCTCACATACCATTTTAAATAATAATTCTCTTCTTCCCTACCACACCAACTATTAACCTAACCTCTCTTTAGTTTTTAAAAAATTTACTTTTATGGTAAAGTTCATACATACAAAAGGAAGACTAAGTACTGGATACTTTTATTTATTTTTTATTTATTTTATTTTATTTTTTTGGAGTTGGAGTCTCACTCTGTCACCCAGACTGGAGTGCAGTGGCTGCTCCCGGCCACCATAGCCTCGCCTACTGGGCTCCGGTGATCCTTCTGCCTAAGCCTTCCAAGTAGCTGGAATTACAGGCGCACGCTACCACGCCCAGCTAATTTTTGATTTATTGTAGAGATGAGGTCTTCCAAGTTGCCCAGGCAGGTCTCGAACCCGCGGGCTCAGGCAATCCACACACCTCAGCCTCCCAAAGGCGTGGGATTACAGGCTGAGCCACGGAGCCCGGCCTGGATACTTTTATTTAACAGTTTTGAAAGTAATAATTTGGTTCTCACTGGCATTCTCTAAAGATAACCAATTTTTATTTTAGTATCACTATGAATAAATTTAAAACATATTCATTGTTTTAATCCATTACAGTTGTTATTCTCATTTATGCTTAAATTGGCCTATCTTTAGGAGTAGAAACCTCTTTAGTTGTTCTTGAATCTTTCTGACATGCCTTCATAACTTCCTTA